TATACATATATATATATATATATATATATATATATATATATATATTTGTGTGTGTCGTTGTCGCCGTGACACCGCCACGTGAGATGGCCCCACGTCTCGACCCCACGACAACGAAGGCCAAGCGCACACTGTGGTCTTCGTCTACTACTCGTCAAGCATGGAGTGACTCCAACATCATCTTCCAAAGACGACATGCAAAACCTGTTCATCAAAATGCTACCCATTGGATCAATTCAACGCTATATATGTCATGGTGATATGGTTATCAATCTGTTCTCCGACAAGAATCTTGTGGAAGGAGCATCAGGGTTCAGTAATCTAATGCCGAAAGAGAATGATCATTGCAATAATCTAATCTTCTGCTCTCTAGTGAGGATGATCGTTCCAGTAAATGTATCCCTGTCGACGCAGCGATTGATTTGGTTCTCTTCACTGTCCTGTAGTGACTGGTTTCTTCCGGAGATTTAGGGTCAGTATTCAACGTGCTTCTTGGACTATGTCGTACTAGGAAGTGAGTTTCTCACCCTGCGTCTTCCCATTTCTACTCCTTTTGGTTGTCTACTAGCAGCACCAGCAGCACATTATTTACTGCTTACTTGAACCTTCCTTCTTGCAGCTGCCAACCATAGCCATATTTATATACTCCTACCAGCGGTCATGCCTTCCATGTCACAGTTCGAAGCTTTTCTTGAGAAGCACTCAGATTGCTGCCGTTTGAGGCTGTGCAAACAGAAGTCATCCATGAGAATTATGTCTTCATCTTCTTCTTCTTATTCTTTTTGTTGATGGGAGACCAGGTGAGACCTTCCCCTGCATCAGACTGATGAACATGAGAGGGCTAAACACCGCATCTCCCAACCTCGCAGAAGGACGGTATTCATCGGCTATAAGGTCCATTTTCCTTCTTATAGATCATGAATTCTTCTGGAATTGGTTTATCCTGTAGTATCCTATTGTTCTGCTCTCTCTCTCTTCTTATAGATGATAATGTTCGTGACATTTCGTTCTGTGTGTAGAGCATTTTTTTTGTGGTCAGTGTGATGGAGAAATCTTCCGATTAAAGAACCACTGAAATAATCATAGGAAACACTATAAGCTTCTGGAATTGTGATATCTCCATCGCAATGACCAAAAAAAGAATGCTCTGATCTGGCCATCGTGATTTCTTTCTGCAACCAGAACGGCTATTTCTGTGACTCAGAATTCTGATCATCCATGTGATGAATACCATCTTTGATTGTTGAGGATGCGAGTCTGGTCATGCTTAATATCCCACGGCATCCCTTTAGTTTAGCTGGACAACGATGACAGCATGAGAGGGGCATGCACCATGGAAAAGAAGGTTCCCTGCATCAGCCACCGCATAATCTATAGCTGTCTCTGATCAAATTTGTGGGTGTGAGCTTGAGCTGGAAGGCCATCTTTTATGTCACTGCACAATGTACGATGTCGATGGATGAGTGAAGAGATAGATGACAGAGGAACACAGATTAAGATGGAAACATTAATGTGCCAGAGGAAGCGGGAAAAGCAGAGGTGGCATTGAATGTGGGAAAAAGCAGATATGGGATTGAATGTCGAATGTCCGTAGTGTACAGTGATGGCTAAACTTCTAATGGATATATAGATCTCATTGCATAATTTGGAAAGAGAAATTATCTTTCCTTGATTCATGCCTTGTGTGTTTCTGTTTCAGTGATGAAACAAGCAAACGAAAGATGAGGTGCAGAGATTCCAGGGAAGGAGACAGGTACAGGGTCATGTTTTCGGGTTGGAGCTCAGGCTGCAAGTTCCACTCATTGAAACTGGCCCTGTTTGTGATGACATGTTGTGCGGCCTTAACCCTTCTCCACTGCCCAGCAGCACATAATGAGCAGCTCCTGCAGTCCAGTTCTAGGTTTGTAGATGTTGGCTGTCAAATGCAGGTCTAGATTTGTAGACGTTGAATGGTTTGTTTGCGAATGCAGGTCCAGATTTGCAGATGTTGGGCGGATTTGGCAGAAGAAACTCTCGGATCCTCGATACTTGTCCGACTTGGATGTTGATTGGCGACAAGTATCGGATGTTCTCCGAAGCGTAGATGGCAGAGAAGGAAGTCTCAGGATTGGCTTGCTCAACTTCAATGTCACGGAGATCGGCGTGTGGAGGCGGACGATGCCAAATGCAGAGCTTTCTGTCGTGCAGCTGGACTACGCAGACGCGAGCATCACTTGGGATGTTCTCTACCCCGAATGGATCGATGAGGAAGAAGAAGACGAAGTGCCTACTTGTCCATCTCTGCCTCAGGCACGACTAAAGAAAGGATCAAGGTTCGATGTTGTCGCCGTGAAGCTGCCCTGCCGCAGGTCGAAGAGCTGGGCCAGAGACGTCGCGAGGCTGCACTTGCAGCTCTCGGCAGCCAAGCTCGCGGTAGCTTCTGCAGGAGGAGCCTCCGCTGTCCATGTGCTCCTCCTCACCGAGTGCTTCCCGATCCCCAACCTGTTCAGCTGCAAAAGCCTCGTCGGAAGAGAAGGCAATGCTTGGCTGTACAAGCCTGACGTACCGGCGTTGCAGGAGAAGCTCCAGCTTCCGGTCGGGTCGTGCGAACTCGCGGTTCCACTGAAACCAGCAGGTGAGTTGTTCGATCATCTTTGGTTTCTATCATGACAATGAACCATCATGTTTCTTCCTGCAGTGCGGCCGCAAGCAGGAGGTCGAGGAACTCGAGAAGCTTATGCCACGATACTGCACTCTGTGGAGGTATACGCCTGCGGGGCGATCGCCGTGGCTCGGAGCATCCGCTTGGCGGGGTCGACGAGGGACCTCGTCGTACTGGTGGATGAGTCGATCAGCGGCCGTCACCGGAGCGGTCTCGAAGCTGCAGGGTGGAAGGTCCGAACCATCCGACGGATCCGAAACCCCAAGGCCGAGAAGAACGCCTACAACGAGTGGAACTACAGCAAGTTCCGGCTGTGGCAGCTCACCGACTACGACAAGATCATCTTCATCGACGCCGACCTGCTCGTCCTGAGGAACATCGACTTCCTGTTCGGGATGCCGGAGGTGTCCGCGACGGGGAACAACGCCACCATCTTCAACTCCGGCGTGATGGTGATCGAACCCTGCAACTTCACCTTCCAACTGCTGATGGCTCACATCGACGATATCACGTCGTACAACGGGGGCGACCAGGGCTACCTCAACGAGATCTTCACGTGGTGGCACCGCATCCCCAGGCACATGAACTTCCTGAAGCACTTCTGGGAGGGCGACAGCGAGAGGGTGAGGGCAAAGAAGACGGCACTGTTCGCGGCCGAGACGCCCGGCCTCTACGTCCTGCACTACCTGGGGGTGAAGCCATGGATGTGCTTCCGGGACTTCGACTGCAACTGGAACTCCGTCACCTACCGGAGCTTCGCCAGCGACGAGGCGCACGCCACGTGGTGGAAGGTGCACGACAGCATGCCGGAGAGCCTTCAGAGCTTCTGCCTGCTGTCCACGCTGACGAAGGCTGGGCTGGAGTACGCTCGGCGGGAGGCGGAGAAGGCGAACTTCCCCGACCGTCACTGGAGGCGCAACGTGACGGACCCAAGACGCCATGTGTGCTTCGAGAAATTCTGCCGGTGGGAGGCCATGTTGCTTCACTGGGACGAGCCGCACGCATCAATCACCGTCTAAGAGCCATTACCACGAGCTCCGCGGCGGATCCCCGCAAAAGAACCTCCGCGTACGACTCTGTCGAGGTTTACAGAGAGTAGTACATGGAGGAGACAGAGCAAGCTTTAACTTGCAGAAAAGCTATATATTTATACTGCACAATGTAGGCAACAAAATGCCAGAAGAATAAGTGCATCCTAAAACATGCAATAAGGACATGTTGACATAGTTACTTAATCTTGTATCAACTTTGCATATCCACAGGTCTCTTTGCATGGTCAACTTCAACCTATAGATTAATCCTGAAATCAAGCTATATATATAGATATATATTAAAATGTAAAATTATTATTTTAATCTTTAAATTTAACTTGTACCGAATTACCGCGGTGGGTTTAAGATACAGCACACTGATTCCCACCCAATCTTAAGCCACCACTGGTCCGGAATCCTGGTTTCCTCTCCTAAACAATGGGTCCCACTGTCAACAAGATTCCCACGTGAAGTCAAAGGTAGATAGATATGGAGTGACACTCCCCAGTCTCCCAGTGGTCGAGTAGTTGCTCGCCATTACCTCCTTCAATGCCATCTCCAACCTAAAAACAAACCGCTCGATCTTAACAATGATATCCCTCCCAATCCTCTCCGAATTCCACCTCTGTAACAATGGAAACACCCACAGGAATCCTCGAAACCACTGCACCCACTTGTTCTGTTCTTGCTTCTCAGAAACAGCAAAGCACAGTTATTGTGGGCTTAGCGTGCTTTTTGGATTCCATCAACCCCCCTCCTCCCCTTGGATGGCCTCGTCGCACACTGTGACACGGAAACCACCGGTATTCCGATGGCTTCTCTAGGTTACCATGGGCGTTTGGATCGCCACACCAGTATAAATCACAGACAAACACCTTGCTGTCGCCAACAGCTCCTCCTCACTGCCCGTTGTTGCAGCCATGCAGGCCCATTCCCTCGCCCTCTCCCCGCGCCACCGCCTCCTCTCCTCCCCCTTGATCAGCCCGAAAGCGGGCGGGTCGAGGAGACACCGAGTGTCGGCCATCGCTGTGCCGCCCCTGCGTCGCAATGCGGTCCAGCACTCGATGCCGCCGGAGAAGGTGGAGGTGTTTCGGTCGCTGGAGGGGTGGGCCACGCGGGCGTTGCTGCCGCTACTGAAGCCCGTGGAGCAGTGCTGGCAGCCGACCGACTTCCTGCCGGACTCGTCTCGCCCGACAGAGGAGTTCGAGGAGGAGGTGCGGGCGCTGCGGGCCCGGACGGCGGAGCTGCCGGACGACTACTTCGTGGTGCTGGTGGGCGACATGATCACGGAGGAGGCGCTGCCGACGTACCAGACGATGATCAACACGCTCGACGGGGTGCGGGACGAGACGGGTGCGAGCGAATGCCCCTGGGCCGTGTGGACGCGGAAGTGGACCGCCGAGGAGAACCGCCACGGCGACATCCTGGGGAAGTACCTCTACCTCTCCGGCCGCGTCGACATGCGCATGCTCGAGAAGACCGTGCAGTACCTTATCGGCGCCGGCATGGTGTGTGAATCCTTCGATTTATCGAACCTTTATGTAATTTAATGTGATGTGCTGCAAGGTGAGTTCTCTTGGTGCATTTGGTCGATGGCAGGATCCGGGGACAGAGAACAACCCCTACCTGGGCTTCGTGTACACCTCCTTCCAGGAGCGCGCTACCTTCATCTCGCACGGCAACACCGCCCGCCTCGCCAAGGATCGGGGCGACGCCGTGCTGGCGCGCGTCTGCGGAACCATCGCGGCCGACGAGAAGCGGCACGAGAACGCCTACGCCCGCATCGTCGAGAAGCTGCTGGAGCTGGACCCGGACGGCGCCATGCTCGCCATCGCCGACATGATGCGCAAGAAGATCACAATGCCGGCCCACCTCATGGTCGACGGCCGCGACCCGCGGCTGTTCGATCACTACTCGGCCGTGGCGCAGCGGCTCGGAGTATACACGGCGGCCGACTACGTGGCCGTCGTGGAGTTCCTAGTGGATCGGTGGCGGCTGGAGAAGCTGGAGGCAGGGCTCAGCGGGGAGGGTCGTCGCGCGAGGGACTTCGTCTGCGGTCTGCCGGCCAGGATGCGGAGGGTGCAGGAGCGGGCCAAGGTGGCGGAGCCAAAGAGAGTAAAGTTCAGCTGGATCTTCGACAGGGAGGTGACGATCTAAAGATAACAAAGTGCAGGGTAGAGACCGTGGCAATGCAGATTGGTAGCCTCCGATCAATTTGGTGAACTTAATTGTTGGATTTTTCTTCCTCTATGTCCAGTTTCATTCTGGTTGGATCATGTTGCAAGTTTTTGATGCATTGTGGAATGTCAAGCAATACCAAGAACTGGGATTCAAGATGTTTGGCAGATAGGAGAAGGAACAAGAACAAGAACAAGGCATCTTTGCAGGAATAACATAGTTTGTGATAGACTTACTGCATTATGCTTCATAATGAGTAGAAATGCAAATTTGTTTAATACTTAGGGGACTGAAAACCTGGAGAATTATGTTTCATCATTGATGTAGTGACATTGAAAATACATTTAAACAAGCATATAGTACAAATCTATTTCATGTTTCGACCTATCCACTGTTACCAGCATCCATTTCCATATATATATAATAAATACCATGTTAAGAACAGTACCTTACCATGTATAATAATAAATAGCATGTTAAAAACAGTACTAGTTTATGATAAAAAAATAGTATTAATAATTTTAAGATGAATATTATTGTATATAATTATAGTAAAAAAAGTGTCTCGAAGTAAAAAATAAATACGATAGATGTCATGAGGTAAAAATATAATATTAGAGCCTTTTTCCTTGTAAAAATGCTTTCTATATATATATATATATATTAACGAAAATCCACATGGCATCCATCGAATGAATAAGTCGGTCGATATCCATCTGGACGCTTCTCGTCTCCACGTGTCACGATATGAACACCGATTGTCCGAGCACCTTGAGCTCCACCTTGGATCTGATCCCGTTTCTTCCTCTTTTCTAACGTTACTCCTCTCTCGTCGTCGCCTCCCACTTTTAAGAAGACGACAATGGCGAAAGCCAATAAAGCAAGCGAAGACGAGAGCTTTGCAAAGATACCTCGGGGATCTCTCTCCGATGGCGCCGGAGAGGAAACCCTGACCCTTACCGGTACTGGTTTTTATCCTCCTCCTCCTCGATCGCCGAAGCAATGGCGGAAACCAGAGGCGTGAGATCCGCCTCCGCAGGCCGCCGGGCGCCCGGCCTCCGCCGTGTCTGGTGCTGCTCCTTCGTTGCCGCCCCCGACAGCCCTGACCACCGCCGCAGCTCCTCCACCCACCGTGAGCTCCGACCCTCCAAGACCCCGCCCAAGCTCTCCCACCCGGGCTCCTTCCACAGCTCCCCCTCCCCCAGCAGCAAGCTCGGCCTCGGCATCATCGACCCCCGCCGTATCCTCTCCCCCGGAAGGGTCTCCCCCATCGACTCCGACACTCCCCTCGGCCCCCTGCCGGGGATCCTCGATTCCGCCTCGATCTCTACGACGGCCGTCGAATCGGAGCCGGAATGCCCAGATCCGGCCCCAAAGGAGCGATCTTTGGTTCCAGATAAGCCAAAGACGGACACTAGGGTTTCGCTGAGGGAGAGATCTTTGGATTTGAGGCTTTGTTTGAGGGGAAAAGATGGGAGATGCTTGGTGTTGGAACTGGATTCTGCGGTTCTGTGTGAAAGCAGCGCATTCTTTGCGGCCAGGGTTATGGATTCTACTCGGAAGGTCTCGGATGCTGATTGCCAGAAGATCGAGGTTGCTGGTGTCGAAGATGTGGATGTCTTTAAGGAGACCATTGAGCTGATGTATGAGAAGGATGCATCAAGATGGCTCATGAAGGCAGGAGTGTCTCGAGCAATCGGTGTTCTGGAGGTTAGAATGCTTCACTTTTGACTAGATATTAAGATGGGCTTGCACTTTTAGTCATCTAGCTTAGCTTATTATCTTTGAGAACCTGTGTAGGAATTTCGCATGTTCAAAATATTAAGTTATGCTAATGTTGCAATATGATGCCATTACAGTTTTTTTTGAGTGGAGAGTATGGAATATAACTATTAAGTAACATAATAACTTAGTATTAACTTGGTAGAAAACAATTTAGGAGTCTGTGTTCTTTCATCAGATTGTTTGACAGAAAAAGAAATCTATAACTAAGTTTGGTTCTCTAATTATATAGCATCCGAACCATCATTTGCAACTAAAGTTCATGTTTGTGTTAAAGAATCCATGACCTATAAAATCTCAAATTGCTTTGTCATCATTTGTCTTCAACTCTTCATCCGCACAAGCATAAGGGTCCATTAGGAATTGTCCTCTTTGGATGAGCCTTGCACGTTTTCATCCCTTCGGGTGGATCAAGAAAAGCATTTGAGGGTAGAGTAGAGGTGACTCTACCGCCTATAAGGTTTTGTTTCCTCTGCTACTTAATCGATGGGAGACTAAATGTGTTTATAAAAAACAAATGTTTAATTAACAAATTTTGTTACATCAGAGTAGTCCATCATCCCTCAAGTGATATTTGAACGGTTACAAATAAATAAAGGACCCAAGCTACCAATCACCTTGATTACGTATTATCAATGCATTAAGATAAATACGACAACAAGAAGAGGCAATCAAAGGTGTGTAGACTATAAAACAAGTGAACATGTATTGGCCCATACTAGCCCCATCACATAATAACTCTGTCAAAGGTGACAGGTATAGCTTACAATATTCTAGTTTACAATTCCTCCCTGCTATGAGCATATTATCATATACAAGTATTTTATTTTATGATGGAACCAAGTTACCAATTACCTTGATTACATATCTCTAATGCAATAAATATGTCAGTAAGAAGAGGCAATCAAAAGTGTGTAAGCTAGAAAGAAGCAAATTCATATGTCGACAACATCACTGCTGCATAATTACTCTTCTAGTCGTGATCCTTGTACAGTAAGTGATGAAGAGGCAGCTTGCTGATTATTCTCTCTCATAGATGATGCATTTCAAGAATAATCTCTTCAGCAGGCTTTGAATGATGCATTTTCTTTGACCGTATGTATGTTTCTAATCGAAGTACTTCTTGTCCCACATATCGTTCTTTCCCTCCATCATACCTTTTTGTACACTTTCCGTTCAACATGATACAATATGCTTGATTTGGGGTCTGGCTCAAGTTAGAATCATTTGGTCTCTCCAAAATGTGTGATCAGCTCGGTTTTCTCTCTTGTATTTCTGAAAATCAAGTGCTAACTCCCTTCATGTGTATCTTTTACAAGCAAGCTGTTTTGGTTCACATCTGGACTATTTGTTTCGAAGTTTGATGGTATGATGACTCAGAAATTAGTGTTGGTGGTAGTGGCTAAATGGCAAAATAAAATACGAACGGACAATATTCTCGAAATGGTCAAAGGCCGCTCATTATGCAATCTTTCTTTGTAATCTTGTTTTTAGTACTAATTGCTTCTTGGTCCTTCAGGTATGTTTGAAAATTATGTTCGATAGAGGCATGAGGTCCTGTTTGAAGTATATTGAGGCTGTTCCATGGACTGAAACTGAGGAGGAGAAGCTGAAGAGATTGTTTGCAATGAGTACAATTGATAAGGCAATATGTGAAGATGTGTTAGCTAGGTTAGACCCACAAGATTGTAACCACTCAGAGGATCTCGCAGTGCAGCTCATTCAGTCTGTTACAAATGCAACAAATGGCAATGCAAGGAGGGAGATGCGGTCTTTAGTGAATGGTCTCCTATCCAAAAGCTCAGTCTATCAGAAAGAACCTGTTGGACTTAACAAGGACAGCCTATACAACGTTTGCCATTCTTGTCTGAATTCCCTGGTCAACCTCTTTGAAGAAGCCTTGAACTCAATTCCTATGGATCAAATGACAGCTGGGAAACGAACAAAGCCACTGATCGAAAGGGTCTCTAAGCAAGTCGAAAACCTTAATTGGTTGCTAGAAATTCTTATAGACAAGGAGATGGCAGAAGATTTTGTGGGTTTATGGGCAAACCAAAAAGAATTGATTAGGATGCATGAGAGTGCATCACCGATGTTGAGGTATGAACTCAGTAGGATATCAGCAAATGTGTTTATTGCATTAGGCTTGAGGAAGTTGCAGTGTCCAGGTGGCATGAGATTCAGCATTCTTCAATCATGGTTTGGCCCAATGTTAATGGACTTTGGCTGGTTACAACGTTGTTCGAAGGGGCTTGACATGAGGATGTTGGAGGAAAGCTTGGGTCAAGTGATTCTTACCCTTAGGCTGAAGCAGCAACAGATCTTATTTGAGGAATGGTTCCGCTGCTTTGCCGGTCACGGAACTGAATGCCCAAATTTGTGCAAGGCTTTTCAGGTATGGTGGCGAAGGTCATTTGTAAGAACTTGTGAAGCACGCAGATGATATCTTCTATTTTCTAATGTTAGATTTGTCGTGTGGTGTAAGTATCCTGTAGACTAACTACTGGTAGAGTTCAATAATGTAATGTTGTTTAATGTACCCCATGTTTTTACAAAGAAATGTAGGATTAACTGGAAGGAATGGTGGCTTATAATGTAGTATTTGCTCTGGTTTTGTTTCTAGTTAGTGCAAATTATTCTTTCTGGAGGTTGCTGTTTTCATGAAGTCATTGTGACCTAACAAAATTATTCTTTACCACTATTCTGATTTCAAAGTGTGCAGGTAGCATCATGTTTCTAGTCAGCAATAAGATGTGTAATTACAGTGTCTGAATCTTTCAACTTTTTCTAATTTGTAGTTAATCCTGCTACCAGGAGTATTTTGAAGATGATATCCTCCTTTTCATTCTTTGATTGAGATATATCTAGTTGTCCTTGTAGTAACTACATACTCTTTGAGATGGATTTTGAGTCAACAGGTTCATCACTTAGATACAAGTTTCTCATTTTGTGTTAAATTTCCTGTTTTCTTGTTTGTCTGGTTCACTCTCTTGCAGATTTTTTTAAATTTGTTTGAAATAGGGAACACAAAACCAGTATTTGTAATAATGTCAGAGTGCAACCACAAGAGGAGAAATATTAGAACTTGATGATGCTGATGCACTAGCAGTAATGAGTTCTTTCTTCCCAGAGTCATACTTGTGCAACTGAACTGTAGTATTGTCTACTACCCCTCTGTCAGTGGTCAAGAGTGCCTCTTCACCACTTTTTAACTCCAAACTAATAGTAATTTTATCTGACTTCTCTGTTTATCACTGCCAGTATATGCAATATCTTCAACATTTTTCTTACCTTTAGCTGTGATGGCATCAGAAATCCTTTTGTTATGGTCAGTCACCACATTGTCAGATTTAGCAGTGCTTTCAGTAACTCCCTACTCTAGAATGATGTACCACCAGAATCAGTACACCTTCATATGGTTTCAGTTTCATCTGCCATGACTGCCTTGATTTTTTCTAACTCCAACATTGCTCATCTTTTACTGATTCAAAGGAGTCTGTGAAGAGAGGCTTTGCTACAGTTCTTGTGGCTTTGCTGAGACTGTTCTTTGCTCAAAACTTCTACCTCATCTTTCCATTGCAGCTTTGCAGATTAGCTTCCTTCATGACAAAAAAAATCCATGGACAAGATTCTAAAATCTCCATTGATTTCCTCCAAACCATATCCTAATCACCATTGTTTACATCCTTCTCGTAGGAACTTTATCATGACAAATATCAACTACTATTTGAATGGATCATATATGTCTTAGAAATTCAAATCTCAATAATGATAATTATTTTTTATTAATATTTTTTTTTTTATCGATTTGATAATTCGCAATTCAATTTAATTATGAAGATAAGGAATTGAAATTGAAATTTAGGCTGGATTTATTAAGTAAGTACAATTATTTGTCCCTAGATCTTGATTAACCAAAAACATGTCTGATTAGAAAATCCAAATTAATCCAACATGAGCATTAGATTTGGTGGTTGACCTATCGGATCCACATTATTGGATCCTACAATCCTGAGATAAACCCAAAACATTTGATACAACACCATGTGGTCAGAATTAATCTCACTGGACTCGTTGACCGCCACTAGAGAGACTTTAATACCCCTCATCTTAAATTAAATTACGTGGTCTTCCTTCTTCCAATAGCACATATAGATTACCTCATACGTACACTAATATAGAGCGATTTCACAACATTAAAGTGCTTTATTAACTGTACTCGTATATGTATACGTATACATGTACGTCTCCTTACACAGTAAATATGTCATCTATGAGGGGTATATTCACAACCGCCTCGCTCCTTCTCTGCGTAGTAATACTGTGAACTTTCCAGCTTTCCATACCGGCCCGCGATTCCTTTCTTCCTCCCGTCTGCTAATCCATCCCTGTCGGTCCCTTTTGCACCGATTGCTTCCCTATCGATCTCCAGCTACAGTCTCTACCCCGTCCCGCACGATTCCGTGCTCCAGGGAGGCGCCGTCGCTGAGGTTGGTGGTCTTTTCGATCTTGGCTTGTCGTTTCGGTTCCCCTGATCTGTTCTCCGTTTTGTAGGGTTTCTGAGGGCGCGATCCGATGGATTCGTCTTTGTCAAGCCAGCCGGAGTTCGATTACTTGTTCAAGCTGTTGATGATCGGGGATTCCGGCGTTGGGAAGAGCAGCCTCTTGCTGAGATTTACTTTGGATTCTTTCGAGGATCTTTCTCCTACTATAGGTGCGATTCTTCTCGTTCGTTGCGCTGCTCCATCGCTCGATGCAGGATAATTTATTTTTCTCATTAGTTGGTTGTAATTGGAACTTTTTTGTATGCATCTTGAAGGCAGTAATCTTTTTAGTGTAATCACTGTATAAGATACTAAGTTGATTTAAGTGATGGTAGATTGCCTGTGGATGTTGGTGTCTAGGTTTCCTCTTTTCGTTCTCATAATGTTAGGAATTGATCAGTAATACTTTGTCAAGGCTTTTCAGCAAATACTTCCAGTCTATTTGTTACCTTGGTAATTTTCTCTGTTCCATCTCTAATTTGATTAGATGTTTCAATTACAATGTTCAGGTGTGGACTTCAAGGTAAAGATGGTTACATTAGGCGGAAAAAAGCTAAAGCTTGCAATCTGGGACACAGGTGATTTTTTTCCCGATTGTTGGTTTCTTACGACGTAATTCCAACTTCCTGGTTTTGCCTTATTTATTTGTACTTTGGGGGTCTAGATAAATTATTCTTTTGCTTCTTGAATAAGATGGGCAAATTGCTTGTCTGTAACTTGGATGTCCATGGTTGCATAAGTTAGCCACTCTGCTCATAGGTATACGACCACACTTGTTGACCCTCTGTAGACCCTAGCCAATACAAGCCTCATGCACTAGGCTTAATTTTTTTGCTGCTTAATATAGTGCTATTGTTGTTTTCTTTGCGGTTTGAAAAAATCAATGATGGAAACTGATGTTACATCTAGGAACGGGTACTATAACTATGAAGGAGGATGAAAGTCATAAAGGGATACACAACCACTCTTAAGAACATTGAAGAAATTTGAACTGCATTTCTAGATATTCTGTTGGTATTCATCATGCACATTTGCAACTATGAAGTTGTGATTTCAAAATTATGTTTAAACTAAAAAGTAGCACAATTATGTAAGTTATTCTATTCACTCCTCACTCTATTGTCTACGAGATAGTATGGTTAAGTTTTACATTATGTGAGGTAAAGAGCAGATTACAAGTAACGAGAAGCTAATAAGGGATGAAAATTGAAAACCTTAGATGAGGCACACTATGAGGATCTAGTCAAAGCAATACTTAAGTCCTATAAGTGTCGTTCCTCCTTTTCTTTCTCCTGGGTGATTTTTCTCTTGTAACTTCTTTGGTTATTTAATTCAACCTGTCTTCCTTGGTCTAGTTCTACTTTGCAACTAGCATCTGCATGTTTCTAATAACCTGCAATACCATTTTTTTTACTTCAGTTAAGTGCTATGCTATTAACATAGATGAATGGTAATGCAATAGCTACCTCTGTTGCAGCTGGGCAGGAGAGGTTTAGAACTTTAACAAGTTCATATTATAGAGGAGCACAGGGCATCATCATGGGTATGGAACTTTTTTTTGTAATATTATAATGTTGTGATCTAGTATTGATTTATTTCATATTTGTTAGGGGAAAGTTGTTTTATGTTATCAGTCATTTAACAAGTTCTTTTAAAAAAGAAAACTTGTGTTTCTATGTTGTTCTTGTTGGAATTATTGAGTTTATGTTCTATAGTGTATTCTATCAATTAGGTCAATTGCATGAGAAATGGATTCGGGTCCAGTTAGGGTGTAGAATTTGGTGCTGAGATCATCAATTTAGATCAGCCGGTTCAAGATCATCCAAAACATAATTTATAAATAAACAAATACAGTAGAAATTTGAAATGAGTGAAAATTTGAAAATAAGAGTAGAAGTTTTTATAATTAATGATTCAAAAGGAGAACTTTTGGTGTACTTCTGAAAACAGCCATGATATCCTATATCTAAATTTGCAAATTTCTTATTTATACTTGCAAATTTTAACAAAATCCTTTCTGTGCCCTTGATGTTAGACCCTCCTAGATCCCACTGGGATTCACCAACGGATTAGGGTTACTAACGGCAGTCTTATTACATCCTTAACCGAGCTAAGGCAATTGGATCTTAATGAGATCTAACAAGGCTGATAAGGAGGGATTTGCAAAGTTTGTGAGGGTTTCTCAGATATTTGCATTTTCTAGAGGAACATGAGATATTATGTCATTTCACACTGATACATGAGAACTTTCCCCTTTAAAAAAATTCTTTTGTATATGTTTTTATTAACCAAGTATAAAAAGGGGTGGACCAAGAGTTAATAACATGTGAATAGTCACAGTTTAGTACCTTGTGAATGAGAGTCTCTTCGCCCCTATTCCCTCTTGGACTCCTAGCCACCCACCTCTCTCTCCTCACCACACAACAAACTAACCTATTGCAACACAATGATGGGGAAGAATTATTGGTGTTTCCTTGGTCAGCTTCCTCCCCTCTCACTTTGCTCCCTTCCTTAAATTGTCCTTCCTGTTACCTCTTTCTCTTTAATTGTTATGGTGATATCTCACGCTTTTGTTCTCTTCATTTTCTACACATATTAGTAACTAATGCCAATAAAAGGAAAATAGTGGTGACAATAACTGTCTTGGATGATGTATGCAAGAGTTTTACCTTGAATATATATATAAATTATTGAAATGTTTTGTTTATGCATAACATGTTCTGTCATTATTCCCTTTTAGCTTGACATGAAAATTATTCTCTTTGCATTATTCCCTATTAGCATGACAGAGTGAGCAATGTCATTATTGCCGTTTGTTCTCTTCATCTCTTTTGGGTGCCCACCTCTGTCAAGCTAAAAGGAAATAGTGCCAAGAGCATAAGAATAGAACTCAATATGGAGAAGGGATGAACCAGTGTACCCTTTGCTTAGGAGGAAACAGCATATCTGTCTAAGGATGACACAGTGTAAGTCTAACATAGGGTGAAGCTTCACTTCTAATCTGCTTCTCCTAATAATGCAAGGTGGGATAGCCCCTTAGTGAGCTAACGTCTTTGAGGTGAAAATTTACATCCATTTACAACGATAAAGTAGGGTCAGAAATGGAAGATCACTTTCAGATGCTATTTGTCAAACAGATCACAACAGGGGCATTTTTAGTCATTTATCAAGTCTAGGGTTTCCCCGGTAAATTATGCACTATCTTACAATTTGCATGTTTAAATCATTAAATTAGATGGCTCACCATATGCCCTGAAGATCCCAATAATATGGTCTATGCTGGTAGGGTATTTTCTTCAATTAGATGACTCACCATATCACCAGATGATCCTGATAACATGTTCCATGCTGGTAAATTATTTTCTTTCTGTTCTAACATTGATCATCAAGTTTTTTTGAGTGTATGATCCTTGTTCCAATAGTATATATTTGCTTTAGTAAAAATAATTGCAGGGTTGACATTTTGCTGATCTTTGTTTTCTTTTTAACAATTTTTAGTTTATGATGTGACACGAAGGGAGACATTCACCAATCTTTCTGATGTATGGGCGAGGGAAATTGATCTTTATTCAACCAATCAGGATTGCATTAAGATGCTAGTAGGGAACAAGGTTGACAAGGTAGTTTGCACTGTGCATCACTTCATAGTTGATGATTGTTTTTGTTGCCAGCCATCACCATTGATCCCTTCCCTTTTTGGCCATTTCCATACTGCTGTCATTACCTGTTAATCTGTTGCACTGTTCTTTGACTTGTTATAGATATCTTTGATGAGTTACGAATCTCTGCTTGGTTGCAGGAAAGTGAGAGAGCTGTAACCAAGAAAGAGGGTATTGACTTTGCTAGGGAATATGGATGCTTGTTTTTGGAATGCAGCGCAAAAACACGGGTCAATGTGGAGAAATGCTTCGAGGAGCTTGTCTTAAAGGTTTGTCATGTTCAAGTTATGGTGTGTTTTTGCAAATTCTATCAGATTTTTGCTCATAGAGTAGTATTACTTGGCAACTTCTAATATAATGAAACTTCTATAACTTTAATGCAAGTGGTTTCATTTTTAAACTATATCACTTATGGTATTTATTTCTCATATTATTTATATAAAATTTACATAAACCAAGTCCTACTTACATTGAACTTATCATGATCCAACCAGATAGACTTATCAGCCAATAGCTATAAAGACATCGGCCTTGACAATGCAGATAAAATGCTTAAGCTCTAATAACAAAAGCCTAAGTTGCAATTTAGACTCCCCCTTGAGAGACCCTTATCTACAGTTCCCTGTCTGTTTGAGGCCATGACCCATCAGTGGGACTATTGTTTGTTTAAATGTTTGATGTCCATTTTAATGCCTTACATACAGCACCCAATCTAGAATCATCCTCTAGCAGGCTACTTATTTGAAGCATAGTGCTATAGTGACAACTTTTGCATAATATGCTCTTGCACCACTCATGTTAACCCTTTAAATCTGTACCTCCATTGTTCTATCTAGGTTATGATATTGTTTGACATGATCCAACCCAATAGACTTAATAGCCCAATAATATCAATAGAACATTCCTTAGTTGCATTCCTGAAAAAAAAAAAAATTCTCCAAAAAGAGAAATATATAGATTACTTCAAAAGCCTATTACAAACTACACCTTGCTCATCTAAGCACAAAATGAGCCTAAGTTCTGGATGCCACTCTGCAGTCCAAACATGGTCAGCCTTGGACTTCTTGACATGGCTAGCCAACCAATGGGCACACCTATTCCCCTCTCTAGAGGTATGACCTGCAAAAAATCAGAGGGCAGCAAAAAGATCCCTAATGGGATTAATCAAAAACCAATTAGGAGGTTCCTCCTCCCTCAAAACATTTACAATCCACTCAACATTAGTCTCGATCAAGAGTTTTGTTACACCCAAGTGAATGACACCTTCCTTTATGACCATAAAGAGTTCACTGGCCCAGCAGCTACCACCTTATAGGAATTTGCATCCAGCAACCTGAATAGCAGCATCACCAGATTGAAGCACGAAGCCTGCCCCTCCTAGTTCCATCCCAGCCTCAAAAGAGCCATCGGCATTCAACTTTGTCCACAGCCTTCGTGTGGCCTTGTCCATTTAACTTGAATAGAGCATATCTCCCTACTAATCCATTATCATTTGTGACATAGTAGTAATTAGTAGTAATTAATCCATTATCATTTAACTTTGTCCAGCATTCCCAAAAGGCTGAAGTGAAGTTATTGGTAGTAATTCCATATGCTGTTAATCCATTATCATCTGTAATGTAGTAGTAGTATCGGGGCGTCACCTCACACCCGAGCACTCAATTGTCTCTTCACAAGTGTGGTACCGCCAGCAACCAGTGAACACTGGCGGTGCCACACCTGGAAGATGCACTTTGTTCTTTGGTTTTGCTGTGTTAGTGATTTTTCTCTTGACATTTGCTGGTGCTGCATTTGATGAACTAACTAAAAAAAATGTCTCTTCTTTGAACGGGCTATTCTCTTTATTTACTCTGATCGATCTGCTTGTTTCCTTTGGTAAGCTATAGGCTAATGATTTGGCATCAATCATGTAGATATTGGACACACCAAGCCTGTGTGCTGAGGGTTCAGCAGGTGTTAAAAAGAACATTTTTACGCAAAAACCAGCGCAAGCTGATGCTTCTGCCAGCAGCTGCTGTTGACAACTATTGCCGGACTCCTCATGATGGATTGGTTGCACACGGTGGTTGGTGGTGATACCTCTCTCCTGCACGTACACTAGAGATTGAAATCGAGCTCATTTAATCCCCATCATAATATGCATATTTCACCTTTTATTTGTGGCTGTTGTTACTCTTTGTGTATTTTCATGGGATCTCGTCATAGTCCTGCAATCTGTTCCATTTCACACATATTACCATTTTAGTTTTCTGTGAAGTTGTTGGGCAGCCAACTTTGGTTATATCTTTGGCAGGCCACGGATGCATAGCAAAACATTCCATTAGTGCTGAGGTAACTCTCGAGTTCGTCATAGAGAAGCCAAATGGGTCAATCCCCAAACATTCTCTTCCTACGAGTTTTCGAGTGGGAGACTGATCAATGAGAATCTTGCATATGGGTGATGAATTTTGATACTCGGAGAGGGGAAAAGGTAGGCAAATATTTTTTTTAAATTATTTTTTCATAAAATAATTCTTTTTTTTACTTTATTTTTGTAAAACATTTCTTATAATCTAAAAATATAGATGATCTTCTACCTCCGTCGTTGCCATTGCACCATCATCCATCTTTGCTATTACCGCTGTCGTCGGTAATGCTCTCATTCATTGTTGCCATCATGCCCAAGGATGTTAGCTATGGCCTCGTCCTCGTTCATCATGATCGAGGCGCACTACGGTTTTGCGGGGCTATCGGTGCAGAGTAAGAGCAGAGCAGGGCATGCATAGTGAACTCCCTCTCCCATGTCAGCCCGACCTAGATCGTCACGACTAATGTTGGGATGCTATTGACCTCCACGAGCCTCGTGACCCTCCTAGATGGTCGCTAGGCTTCCCAGCATCACTATCGCCTTCTCGATCGTGTCACTACCGAATCCCCCACCAAACCCACTAGTGAATTTTTATTATCATAAACTTAACTGGTTTTACCTAAGTTATACGGTACGTTTGTTCGTAAAGAGTTAACATCCTCAAATCCTTTTATGATCCTTTAAAGACCCGCAAAAGAAAAAACAGGTCAAAGGAAGTATTTAATTCGAGATCCTACAAGCAGTCATTTTAGGAAACACTTGATAGAGAATATAAATTACAAATATAGACTTCGCAAGCTTTGAGCTATCACGCGACAAAGGGTCCAAGGTGGTCCGTCGCAACTAAAAGTTCTCACAAGTGCTCACATGACATTGCTATGAAATAAGACAGTAAACCAGCCATAGACTTTGCCCCAAAGACCCATCCAATCATGTGCCACCTAGGTAGCTCCAGGGTATTATGTTGGCTGACACCCCAAACCACTCTACGAAGTTAGAAAGCCCCCAAAATGGTTGTTTGCATGACATATTTCTGGATAGTTTTACCTCTACACGATGATTACACAACCTGCATTTACAAGACCGAAACAACCACAAAAGCCAACCATAATGGTGCTACCAAGCCTACTGCAAGTCCTTTACATGTTGTGCAAATCATAAACAAAACCGAAAGACATAGGCATATACAAGCATTACATCGAACACCTTGTTTACAGCTTTACCTATGACATTCTCCCTCATTTATTCCTTCAACGTCCTCATTATAGTCTTTATAGATGCCGCATCTCCTCGTCTTTCCTGAATTTTTAATCTTCTGCTCTAGTTGCAACGTGTCTCTTAGCTTCTAGTTGCTCTTCGTCATTGTTGTTGAGTAGTCGAGCTTTGATCCGCTAATGCCACTTCAACTCGCCAATGACTCTGACTCTAGTGCAGGGTCAATTGAGTTGTGTTGATTTTTGATGGTTCTTATGGATCCCTCGTATAAAGGAAAAAACCTTCCCTATTGTACGTCATTACTTAAACGTCTCACGTTGCTTGAATTAGGTTGATGTCTATTGGAGTTTTAATGAGCATCCCCTCACATACTTTAAAGTTCTTTTAGTCTTTCCTCTATAAAATTTGATCATCAATTCCTATTCTACTTAGTTGTCGCCTCCAAGTAGTTTCGCATCACTTCCACTTTCATTTGATATCATATTGAAAAATGAAGCGAATAGTCTACCCTCGATAGAATCGATCACCATTGGTGAGGATTTGATAATTATTGTTTTCCATTAAATTTCTTCGAATGATCTTTGAACATTTGCAGAGCTCTTTTACTGGATAAATAAGAGAACTAGAGTACTTTGTTTCACAATTTCTCTTAAGAGTTGAGAAAGCAAATTTTTCTTGACTTCGCTTGCCTCCTCGAGGGTTGTACTTTATGCATCAAGTCGGTTGCTAGCCTTTGCCTGCTTTTTGCTCACACTTATGAAATACCTGAAGTGTTTGCACTCCTTGCGTTGAGTTAGCTACTACAATTCATCTTCTCATTGCCAACACAAGGTGCATGTAACTTTAAGCTTCTTTTGACTTAGCACCATGCAAAATGAGTCTGCTCTATTAGAACGAGGGACTCATGGAACGACATCTCATTTTTGTCTCTACAAGAGTTTGTATCTTTAACGTATCGTATCTTTGACCTCTTTTTAAGGAAGGAAAACTTTGTGGATCTACTTTATGTTTTATCTCTGCTATATCGACTTCCTTCGTGTGACTTGAGCATTTCACAATGTTTTACCCAAGTTAAAAAATTTATCAAAAATAATAATAATAATAATAATCACCTTTGTCCCACTTCCAACATTTATCTTTTTTTTTTTTTCATTTTTATGTTTTTCAGTTTTACAGTAGAGTGCCTCGAAATCTCGGTCTTTTATAAATAGGTTTACCTTTCACGACATCAGTTTGAAAGGCAAAATCAAAATCAAGATTCCAAAAGAGCATGAGAAAAAGAAAACTAAAGAGAGGGTTGCCTTGCACATAGTCTTCACCCCAATAAAGAAAGGTTCAGAACTATAAAGCAAATATGGAAATAATGAGCAGAGATTAGAGATTTGTAGCACATAGTCTTCACCCCATGGCAAAGAATTTGAAGCTTATCGGAGAAAACATTCATGTACAATAGATAAAGGTCCTCACATTTTTATGAATTCCAAAGCTCGGGTGGGGCATATATTGGGCCAGAGATTCGGGAGCATGAGGAGATCAAATGTGAAATTAAATGATACTAAGTTGGCTCAAGAAAGCGGATTGTTCCTTAGGAGCGATACACTTAAGAGGACGAACCTTGGTACAATGATAAGATTGAGATCAAGAATCGAGTCACAGAAATAATCTCTTTAAATATTTAAAAGTAAGATCGAGCTTTTTGCACTGGTACGTTATTTTTTAGACTTACACAGGAGTTTGAAAACCAACAAGTCTGCAAGTGAAACTTTTTGAGGAATCCTGCATCCTAGTTGTCATCAGTATCCTTGATATCTTGCAAGAGAACACCTCTAACTCTTGACCTGGACCACAAAAAAAATAAAGAAACAGGACAATGCATCATGAATATACCTGGGTAGAAAGCATTATAGAAACAAGAAAAAGTTACCTACGAGAGACCAGGGCACCTCGCTTACTAGTTTTGGTAACTTGGGGACCCTTTGTAGCTGCGACATCTACATCACAAGTTCAGTAACCCAAAGTGGCTTACGGGTAACTATAATTTTCATCATAAGGTTTATCCCTCGTATAAATTAATCTTGCTACCAAAGATATATTATACAAAACACCATGCCAATCCAATATAATATACTCTGCAAATAATTGGACCTCATTCTCAACAAGATGTTAAACACACATTAAAAAAAAAATCATGGTGATAGATCGACATCTTACCTGAAAATTGTTGCAGTCCTGAATCAGATGTTTCAAAGTTGTTGAGAAGGACATCAGAAGCAGTGGATGCCTTCACCGCCAAATTTGGCTTAGATGCCTTCCGTTTACTTAGAAATGAAAGAGAATCAAGCTGTTTTTCGAGATTATCATTCTTTTCCTGGTTAACAAAAGAAATAACATGCTGATTTGTCATGTCAGCTGCTTCAAATTCTCCATCATATACTAATATGAGAAGCTGTAAGCATTGTGAAAAATAACTGAGGAAGAAAACCAAGGCAAATCAGATACAAGATTCAAACCTTTTACCATTTAGATAAACAGACACAGTTAATATCTGAAAATCTATCTACATGTAACAGCTGATTCAATGTTTTTGACTTAATATTTACTAAAAACTCAATAGAAAGGATCCACATGGATTGGAACATGATGATTGAACTGATCAAAAGCATAGGCAAGTATATAATTTTCTAGAAATAAGCTTTCGAACTCGTATCTCATCAGACTCATTATATAAATTGATACCGAAAGCTTTTATGTCAGATAATCATGTATTGAGAAAAAAACAAATATAAAGAAATATGAACAGAAAAAATTGATGCTCTCAAAGATAACACACAAATGCTAAGAGTAACTTAGCAAATGAGAATATCAAAAGAACACGAAAACATTGAAAAGAGATAACTAGACAACCTTTCTAAAAAATATAAAAGCATATGCATTCTTACAAGTGTATCATATGTATGCAAAATATAACAAACAACATGGTAGCAAAAGAAAATTTGATGAACTTATCCATTCAATTATTGGATGACAATTTCAACATTCTTGGACTTTATATCAGCAGCAAATGAGATTAAACATATCCAGCAAATGCAAATGAATTAGCAATTGTAAGACTAGGACTTTATAAAAAGGAATTATATATATGTATTTGTCAAAAAGAAAAATAAAACAACTTAAATGAAGTCACTAATAATAAACTATAACAGGTAGCCTACCCTTTCAGACGATAAGGATTCCATTAATTGAGACGAGCGTTGATGTTCTAAAATAGAAAATCGAGTATCAGAGGATTACCATCAATTTAAAAAAACAAATGCATGTTATGCAGATAAGCATATTATACCCTATGCATATGCATAGATACAAATTATAAGAAAAAAAAAGAAATTTAAGGAGAATGATATGATTGTCAGCAAAATAAGAAAAAAAAACCTATTTATATAGTGTAATTTATGGAGAATGATTCAGTCAAACTCAAATCATATGTATGAATGCCTGGAATACACACGTAGGCACATGAAGAAAATGAGATATTCTTGATGCCTAAATGTTTAGTATACTAAGAATCATTTGGCGGGTGACTAATGGATTCCAGAATCAAATATTAAATTTTCATCTAGCGATTCCCGTGAGCTGAACCTTGTAAAGTCTCTCAGCTGAAGAATCCAGCTGATACTGTCAAATGCCACTTCAATGTCATGATATACAAACACTGGTAGAGGAGTACCTTAAAGAAAAATATATTTAATATACACGGGCTTGAAAAGGTCTAATAAAGAATGAAGAATCTAGAATGATTTAACATGTAAGTGAGCTCCCTTTTTTGTAAGTTTAGAAATTGGAACCTCAATGACTAAAAAGATAATGTGGAAACATAGAAAATCAAGAATAAGCTTCAAACAAATAAATTAACCACATGCACCTGAATAACTAAATACCTAATTAAGAAGATTAACTCAGAAATAGCAAGTACATAAATGTTTAAATAAACAATAAGTATTTTTCTCATCAACTCAAAATCAATGATTTTTGTCAGCAAATATGCAAGGAAACAAAAAATATTAAAAAAAAGTGATAATAGAGTGTATGAGGAAGATATGGAAACCTTTCACAGCATCACTTTGTGTTTTCTTAAATGCCCTGAAAAGTGCTAGAGACAGTGTTCCCATTGCATCACTAGCTGGCACATTTGAGACTATGTTGAGAGACAGAGATATGCGAGGCAATCCCTTTGACTTGAGAGCAATTAAGGTTGCATGGACGTTCCCTGAATTAACAGACGTGCATTTATGACATGCATCAAATTGCATCCTTATGAGAACAGACAGTAGGTATGGTAAGTATCAAGTCAATGCATAGAATTGCTTATTGTTATGTCATTTGATACATAAAGGGAAATAAATGAGACTTCTTAGTTTAACCATCAGTCCATCACAATAATCTAACTCGGTAGGCATAACTGATTAAATAAAACTAACCATGCAAGGCCACTGTGGTCAGTAGAGTAAAAGAAATTCATGGATATGCACAAAATTTCAGATCTTGGATTTTTCTTACCACCCAACATTTACTTTAGAAAATAGCCTTTAAATGATGTGAGTTACTCATGTACGACAATTAAGAAAACTGTAATTACTTGAAATAGAAAGACAATCACATAAGCAAATAAAACATTAGCCAACAAGTTAAAGATTATACATAATTACATATCATTTGCATATTAAATGCCTTTATCTCAAATTGAACAACCAATACATGTAAAAAGAAACTACTTAGGACTCCTGAAATCAAACAAAGTACAACAGGGTGTGCCAAGATATGAATTCCTCCGTAGAAAAAGAAATTCCAATTATTCAGCATATAGAAGTGTGACCTCGGAGAGCTCAACCAAAAACCATTCAAAAACACTATGATAATTCTCAATGTCTGTTGGTTCAAATCTGATGCAATTAACCCTGAAAGAAATTGAAACGTTTTTTGCATTAAAAATGTATGAATAGCAAATTTATGTTTTCCAGTTTGTCTATTCTTGATATACAAGTTTCAAGGAGTCAGGAGTCATGTCAAGGACTTTCTTAGACAGTTCCTTTGCTAAGAATCTTATCAAGGCCTTATAAATGGAAAGAAGACATATTTATCAAAGTTATAGCTAAACATATATAAAGAGGGCAAGTTACAGTAGTTAAAGTTAACCTACATTTAAAATGGCCACCAAAATTTTCTCAGCATGTTAAAATTTGTGTTTAGCACTTAAATGGCAAACTTTTTTTTCCCAGATTCATAATGATATTTATGTATTAAAGCAATACATCTTGATGCAGAATACATACATAAAGATGTTTATAGGACTGAAAGGCTCACCAGAGCCTACATTTTGCAAACCACCCAATATAAGCTTAACATCTCCGGAAGACAGAGATGATTTGAGGTAGTCAACAAATTCAGACCATGAGCCACCAATTCCAATGTCATCTCTCTGCATAGGAATATGTAGATATAAGCTTAACTCCTTTGTCAAAGGAAAACTAAACTAGAACATCTCTCATGAGAGCAAAATCACAATGTACGATTAAGTAAAACAAAATTTCTTGTTGATTATAGAATGAAATCAGAAAGTGTTTGCATAAACCAAAATTTTCTGAACGATGAGATTGTGAGATAATATGAGCCAGAAAAATCAAGAAAACAGTTTTCTGAACGATGTGATCTTCACCTTCGATAGCTTACAATGTCGACGTGAATAGGTAAACATGCAGCGCAGACATAAAAGAAGTCCACTCACCAAAGGGCGACATAATCCTTTTATTGGCGTCACCTCTCGTGGTCAACAAACATAATTATTCACCACAGTCAACAATAGTGCTATCAACATTCAAGGCATCAACACCTTAAACCAAACGACGGATCAAACAGCAACACCTAACCCGCTGATACTGAATACGGATGAACAGAAAAAGAAATAGAAGGGGTCTTCTACATACGTCTTGGAAGATGAATCACCATTCGCGAATCACAATAGAAAGACACGAGACTGCGAACCGCAACTTAAGATTCAAATGGCAAGAATCGAGAGAACGAAGCAAGACGACAACAGGATCATTAAGCATAGGTCAAGTAAGGTTTTTGGTTATTAGAATGAGAGATAGAGAAGGGGGGGATGGGGTTCTTACGAGGTCTTCGATGTCATGCACCGTGAGGACGCGGGCGAAGGTGAAGGAGTGGAAGTCGGTGGCGAGGACTTCGACGCGGGACGGGTCGGGGGCGTAGGCGTAGAAGAGGGAGGGGAAGAGGGGCACGGCAGCGGTGGTAGCGGTCGCAGAATCCCACTCCGGCGTCGCTTCCCCGAAGACATCGCCGAACTCTTCGAAACCCTTCTCTGCTGCCATCAGAAGGCGAAAGAGGAGGCCGGCAAGGGGAGAAGGGCGGAACAGAACGGCAAGAGAACCGACCAAGAATTGACGCCGTTAGGAACAACGTTTCAACGTTATCATCGACGCCGTTAGGAACAACGTTTCAACGTTATGAAGCAAAAATGAGATAAATAAAAAATTAATCTTTAATTTAAAAAAAATTATTTTCATTTTATAAAAGAACAATGCAATTAATTTTAATTTTTAAAAGGAACTTAATCTGTGAGGCCTTCAAATCTATTTCCAATCCAATTTGAATATTATTATTATTTTCATTTTGTATTATATATATATAATACATCAAAGTGTCTAATTGCTTTATATAATAAATATGTATATATATATATATATATTTAGATGAGATATAAATGTTTCTATTAAAATTTATAGGGATAAACACATTAGCTTTTGAACATTAGATAGGCAATAAAAAAAACCCTATTATAATCACAAGATTTTGAGTACAATCCCATCTATGATATTTTCTAGTTTGATTCTTTTATTTCTAAAATTATTGATGCAATGCCAAACTCATGGCAATCAAAGAAGAACATGAATCACAAAGGCAATGGCACACCTTCTTAGGGTTCAGAAGAAACAGTTCCCTACAGATCATTGCTTTGAATCTTGAACTGGTATATATAGAAGAAGAAGAAGAAGAAGACGAAATCCAAATCATTGAGAAGTATCGACCCAAGCAGTTGATTGTAATCAGAACTTGTTTCATATATGCAACAAATTTACAGTCGAATATATGTATATATTATACACACAACAAAATTCTTGGAACTTTCATGCCTTATTTTTGCAGCTTTGTGATGCAGATCTGACATGCATCACCTCCATCTACATCCCTTCTGCTCCACAAACCCTAATACATAGCTTGATCTCTCGCTTTTGTTGCTTGGATTCCCTTTCAGATGATTCAGCTTCGTCTCTTACTTCTGCTGCTGCGATCTCCTCTTGGATGAGTGCGTTTTCCGCACACGGAACAGGTTCTTCAGCATCCTCAGCATCACCACGAAGCCAGGCTTCCGGCGCAGGGAGGCGCCCCTCGACACCTCCAACGCCGGCAGCAAGCGCAGCTCCACCGCTCCCTGCTGCTCCTTCTTGGCCACCAGCAGCTTTCTCTCGGCGGCGGCCAGTGCGTCCATGCCCGCCGACCTCCTCCTCCACCTCCTCGTGCTCTTCTCCGCATCGATCGGGACGCGGTAGAGCTCCTCGTTCAGGTCCTCCCACAGCGAGTCCATCCTCTCCTCGCACTCCACCGAATCGCCGTCGCCGAGCAGCGCGGGGGAGCTCCGCGTGACGTAGGCGTCGCCCTCGGAGAAGCTTCTCCGGAGATACCTGTCGTCTTCCTCGTCATCGACTGTGGGGAAGCTGAGCTCTTCCATCGCTCTTTCCTTCTTTGTTTCACGTCGTCGTCGTCTTATGGTGAGGATTACCACCGACCGCCATCGCAGGGTGTTACGAGATCGGAGCATCTCAGCCGTTGATCGCCTAAATGAACGGTTGTTAAAGACTCCAATAATGCATGCAATATGAACGCCTTTTGCATGCGGTAAATGGATTTGTTGGGAAAGTCAAGTCAAAACAAACAAAAAATTTTGTTTGGATTTTATTTTTAGGCTCAAAATGAAAGAATAAACTATATTGGTTTGATGGATATAAGCATCCCATGTTGATCATGTTAACCTAAAATATATACATGCAATCCATACGATCCAATAAACAAATGAGTGCACCCCTTTTTGGTTCATAAAGCCTTTTGACATATCTTAAGCGAAACATTGCATGATAAAGCTCCATAAGTTGGGCACAAAATGAGTCATTTAGTCTAATGCAAGGCAATGGCTTTGTACCCACCAAAACAACAAGAGAGAGAGAGAGAGAGAGAGAGAGAGAGAGAGAGAGTCAGGTGGGCATGCAATGTAGATAGGAATTGCTAGCACAAAGAAGTCAATGAGATTAGGCACACTCTTTTCCATTCAATTGTAGGACTATAAGATAGCATCGACTGTTGTTGTAGATTTCTGTACTTAACATAAGAAAGAGCTTTCTTATCTATTGATAGAGGAAATGATTAGAGAGGCTAATGATGGACCAAACAATAAGATTATTGCCTCTACAATTGCTTGTCTTGTCAATGAGTTGCTAAGCAAGAAAGATGAATGGAGGAATAGTACTCAACTAACCTAAACATAATACTACCACCGTATCACATGATACAATTATTAAATGATTCATATCATCAATCTAACTACCTTAATGTTGGGCACATGGCATGAGATTACAATCATTATTAAAGAAGGATTCCAATGGTTTGATGTTATTATTGTTAGTTTTAGGAAAGTCGATTCTTTCCTAATACCTTAAACTATTTGAATTTAAGTATTGTATCGTATATTTTACTATGAGTTTAAGCTTTTCGGACAAGCGATAATAAAATAAAAGGAATTTTATCGATCATTGCATGCATTTTGTGACCAAACCTTCATTAAGTTCCAAATGGGGAGTATATTAATCCATGCCACAACCCATGTTTTTTAATCCATATTTCCTGTGGTTTCAATGCCTTGCATGTGCATAATTATTGGATGAATCCATCTTACTATCATGCATTGGTGCCATTTCCAATAAAAAAATGGTTTTAGAACCTCACATAAAATTATAAGACATACATACAAAAAGACTATTAAGTGACAACTTTTAAGGACCTCTAATGCTATACAAATTCTCAGTTTTATCTAAATGAGAAATGGGGCTGCACCTCATGCTGATTTTGGAGGTCAACAATAGAACTCAAAATCCAGACCTCTTGATTGCACATAAAGCTATTTAACAACACATTCAATATATTACAGTCTTCTATTTCCATTTATTCTCAACTCATGACTTGGTAAAATAATTCATCCATGGAAGATTTGTCACTCAATTAGATTGTCAAGAACTGAGCTGTTGTTGGTTTGGTGGAAAGAGACAGCCACAAAGAGAAGTGTAGGGAACTCCACCAGGAATCTCAAGTGACAAGAACAGAACAAGCTCAACCTCAGGACAAGCTTCTCATGGTGGATTTGCTTTGATGATTACGACTATCCCAAAACAAGCTTGCTGTATCTTCACTGCCATCTTGTTGTCTCCCGAGGGAGATAAACATGACTTCCTTCTCTCCTGTTCATTTGGCATGTGAAATCAAACATCAACTATGAAGATAAAGATGAATAGATAGAGATAAAAAAAAATTAAAGAAGCTTTCAGGAGGAAGACAAGGTTACCATGCCAAGATGATAACCATGTTGCTCTTGACAAGGAGCAAAACGGCTTCTCTCTCCTGTTCATTCGGGGTACATCGAGATGATGGCCATTTCTTCGCAAGAGGCTCTACTCCACTTGTATACTCTTCCCATTCCCATCTAGTATCTGAGCATTATGATAAATGTGGTGATGAGCAAATAAGACCGGTTAAATTTATCATCAGAAAAATTCAGTATGCCCCTATGAAAAATAAATATTGGTCAATATTTTTTGAAGCATCTCCTGCTGGAAACAGAGTGGGAACTTGTTTAAGCTAAGAAGAAGTGAAACCATGACTTCCTTGGATGAATGAGAATGATTAATTGGTGATGCAAAAATAACTTGAATCTTGCATAGAAACGGCTATAAATAAAGACTTTATACAGAGCTTAACAGTCATAAGAGATCCATGTAGTCAACTTTGTTGTTGTTGTTGTTTCTTGCATAGAGATGACTTTTGATCAAGAAACCAGGCTCAAAAAGGATTGAAACATCACTCATCTTTCAGTTCAATTTTAGTTGATCTTCTTTGAAGGAAGATGGTGCACATGTAATTCCTCTGATGAGGAATTGTTTTTTTTAGTCATTGGGTTCTGATCCCACCAAGACATGATACAGGCTGAAAAGGAGAAACAATGGAAGAAAAGGGTATGAGGTTATCATGCTGGAGTAGACTGAAATGAGATGAAACTTTATCTGTGATGATTGTTGTAGCATAGATGGTGGTTTGGATGCAACTCAACTGTGAGAGATCATGACTCACCATTGCACTTTAGCATCACATGATATGCAACTTCATCATCTACTCAAGAAGGCTCTTCCAATTTGCAACCTTGTACAAGAGAATGAGAGAGGAATTGGCTAATTGATTTCTTGTTTGAACATTGCCACTTCCAAGCTGGACCATGCAGGACACTACTTGACAAGCTGCCATTGAGCATAATGCAACTTCATGATACCTTGGGCTTGGAGGGCCACCAAAAAAGACACTCATGAGTGCCCTTGTGCTAAATGGATGTGACTCAACATAGCTATGTCTATTTGCAGCTGAGCTGCATGACAATTGAGCAATTCTCACTGTGTGGACTGATGACTCTCATAACAAACAGTGTATTGTAGTAATAGAACAATAGAGTCAAACTATTTGCTAATTACTGATTGGATCTCAGGGGATAACATGATATTTTGGTCCACCACCACCGAGAAAGGTTGGCACAAATGAAGGATCAGACTAACATGAAAAGAACATGATTTGCCATTGTGGGTATCCATCACAGGACTCTTCGGATGCTATAAGTTTGAAGTTTATGCTAGATAACCTAATAACAATTTATGCTCTAATTCAAGCTCTCCCTTGATCACTGAGCTTAAGTCCTCACTTTTTACTTAGTTTATCTCCATCGTTCTAATCTAACACTAGGAGAAAAAAAGAAATAAGCTTCCAAAATACATGTGACCATTAAAGGCCTCTCTTTTCCATTTTTTATTTTTTTCATTTCTTTGATTAAACCTTCTTGATTGTTCAGTCTAACTTTTTTATGTCTTGAAAAATAACAGGATGGTTTCATCCATAAATTTAAATAAGTTTTGGAATTAAAAATTAAAATTTTTGAATATCTGCATTATGTTAGTCCATTGTTGCATGAACTGAAATTTAATATTAAAAATTGATTGGTGGTGCTGAAATGTAAATATCAATAAGGTAAACTTCAAACTAGAAATATGCTAAGACAATGAAGTTTATATGTACATAATTTTTTTAATCTTCAAAATTTATAATGCACTCTCTCTAATATTTATAAGATTATTACATTTATTACATACTAGGCCAAACCCACTCTTATGTGCCTCCACAATGTGCCCTTCACATCAATGTATCTAACATATTCCACCAAGTTAGTTTACCTTGAAAAGACTGGCTGACTTTTAAGATTGAATTGACAAGTCGAGCAAGTGTTAGTTCTTGAATCTTCTAACATAATAGATTGAGTGATCCATAAGATGACTAATTATTTTTTATAGGAAGAAGAAAAAGAATCAAGAAAATGTTAATCAGATGACTAATGATTTCTATGGTACCTTCAGGATATAAACCCTAATCGTGTAACACCATCATTTGTTGATTGGTCCAGCAGTTAAACATCAATGGTGCTAATGCTATAAACACAGTTCTTCACATAAAACTTGCAATCTATGAGAGAGAAATCAACCCTTATGCTTTAAAACAACCATAACAAGAGCTGTGACTTGTGTTGAGAATAAAGATATGCAGATACTTAGTGGAAAATTTTCAATCACAATGCATGATTAATATAAAGTACATTGGTTAAAATGACACATCTGATCTTTACAAGAATATTTATTTATGGAGTAGCTGATGACACTTGCACTGAGCCGCAGATCTAACTAAGAGTGCAATCTATCTAGTGAATGGCAGACAGACCAATCTTGGGCAAAAGTGAAGAATAGGATAAGAATCAGCTGCAGCATGTCAAATATGCTGATATTATTTAGTCATGTGCAAACCTTTGTGATAAAGTTTGCTTGGAGTACATAACACAATTCTTTGTTTTAAAAGATACGCAATTCCTGTGGATTCAAGTGAGATCATAGCTGGATTATATATTAATCCAATTTCAGCAAATATTGTCTTTAGTCTGCCTAAATTAGATGAAGTGAAATGAGAAAAACGGATACCACAACAAACCTATGGCAATCTGCTTTGGTCTTCTTCACTTGGCTACTAAACATATAGATAACTATTGAACAACAAGAAGCTGGTTAACTCACTGTGTTAAGCTGAAGACTCATGTCCCAAGTTTCCCATCTTACAGCTGGGAAATCTTGGCTTATAATTTTCCAGGTTGTATTTGGCTAATCATTTCCTGCAATCAACAACAATATTGCATCAACCCAAACATAAGCCCATATGTTTATTAGAAAAAAAAAAAATCCTTGACATGCTAGAGTACCAATGACCTTGCATGGAGCAGCAATCCTCATATATCTCATCATGATAGTCACAAAATGATAAACCTGGTAAAAGATGCAATCACAGATCACAATTATTAGAAAGGGTACTAAAAAAGAAAAGCATAAATAGATCCTTACATAAAGAATTTCATTACTCACCTAAGTAGTACCTGTTCAAGGCCCATTGAACAGGTTATGTGAGGTGATAGAGAGGCTGCATGTATCGGCAGTGTGGTAGAAAAGTGGGAAACATATCCACTTAGCTAAAGGAATTTGATGGGTAGAGAAGCAGAAAGCAAAATAAAGTAGCTCTCTCCAGCCCCACAAAGCAAAGCCTGCCTGCCCTTCACAGTTCTCACATTCTTGCTCCCACCACTCCACTTCAATAGCCACCAGAGTCCCCACAAAGCTCCCTTCCTTTTTCATCCAACCCCTCCTCCCACCATCATTCCACCTCATTTTTCTCACCTCGCAAACACCCAACAAAAAGAGCAGTCTTGCACCCTGCCTTTCATCATTCCTTACAGCCACAAAGCTCATCTCACCCAAGCAAGAGGAAGGACCATGAAGGCCACAGTACTTGAACCACCTCCTAAAGATGGGAGAAGAGAAGTTCATGAAGACAGAGCTAATAAAACTGCAAGTGGCTACCTGAACAATTTGGAGCTGAGGCTTGGCATGTCACTAGTGAATGGTCAGGAAGTTGGTGACGGGAAACGTGGCAGTTGTGCAGGTGGAACGATCCCAAGGTATATCACTACCCAAGATGGAATCATGCAACACCAGAAGAATAGACACAGTCTTGGAGGAGCCAAGAGGTGTTTCTCTGATACCACAGGTGGTTTTGTCGACCCATGGAGTCTGGCAGCTCGGCAAGAGACAGCAGCTTTAGAGCAAGCTCACCAAAAGCTCGGTCCTTTTGCAATCTCAAGGTTCAAATGCTGCCCTTATCCCTCCATGAGATATTAAAATTCTTTCTCACAAATCTCTAGATTTATCAGAAAGTTTAACTGCATCCATATGATAAAGTATGATTCGATAGAAGAACGTAAGGGTTGCAAGAAACAGGATTCAGCTACCTGAAAAGAAAAATATAAATAAAAGCTCAAGATTCTAATTGATATTTCTGCTTCATCTTTTGTGTTCATTTAATGTACCATAGATTTTTTCCCATAATGTGAAAAAACATATCGGACATATTGTTCTTTTTCTAAAATATTGACATCAACCTTTGTACAGGCCTGTTCTTAGCCAAGAGTGAGAGAACATTCTTAACATATTGTTAAATTTATTTCAGTCCATGAAGTTGTTCAGGATCAAGAGTGAAAACATGTTAGAACGTTCTCAAATTTTGTGTAAGTTCCCCTTAAAGAAGTGAACTAATATTTGTAATTCCAATGGCTAATATGAAAATTACAAAGAGATACAGGTGCATATAAACATAAGCACAGGCAAAAGGCAAAATTTTGATATAAGAAACATAACAAATAGTCTATGCCAGGCAAGCCATATATAAAAAAAAAGGTACAAAATCTTACCCTACCTTCTCTTGCTCTTTCTGTTTTCTTTAGGCTTTTTTTTGTCAACATAGGTTATTTGATTTGATTGGATCTGGTAGACTGGTAGTTGGTTTAAGCAGTGAATTCTGTGCATTAGAGGAAGAAGCAGCTCATCCAAAAAAAAGGATTAGCTACTTATTTTTTCCTAATAAATATATCAGTATTGAAAAGTGAATTTTGGTTTAACTACTTATATGTCTTTTTGCACAACCAATGCTACTTACCGTTTTCTAAGTAATTTAGAATGAATACCTAACATCTTTTTACTCTCACATAACATCACCTTTTCTGGGTTATCTGACTATCCTACCCTTGACATAAAACAACTCAAAATACTTTGTATACCCAACTTGATAAAATACTTGGCCAAACACCCAATCGAAAATCTAAATGGTAATTCACTTTTCAATGTCCCTTCTAAATTGGTAAATGATGTTATCCATCAATTACTCTCTTTCGTTATGTTACTTTCTGTGGTCATTGTGCTTCTCATGATGATATGGGAAAAATATTATTAGATCCACACATCCTCCACAAGTGGTGGGCTGGCCTCCAGTCTGTTCATTTCGAAAGAACTTGGGGAATCAAAACCAATCAAATTCTACGATGAGCTCAGAGGCAAATCCCGAGAAAATAAAGGTAGCAAAAGATGAGAAAGTGAACAATGAACTGCAAGAGAGACCCACAATGTTTGTAAAGGTGAACATGGAAGGTTGCACAGTGGGCAGGAAGATTGACCTAAAACTCCACAATGGCTATGACTCACTCTCTCGTGCTCTTCAGAAGATGTTCCATAATTTGTTCCCTGGTAAATAACTATAAACTATGAAGTATATGAATTTTCAACTGCATGCAGTTACCTGCTTCTTATTACCACGTTTTCTATTAGTTTTAATTATTCAATTATAATCAATGGTATAACATCTGGTCTATAGTATAAACATCATCATAGGAAGCACGTGATTAGTATCTTGAGAATGATCATAAAATATCCAGTCAAATACAATAATCGACATTTGTTTTTGGTAAAAACTATACATGACAATGGCATCTTTATAGAGTTCTCCTAGGAGGTTACATATTCATGTAGTCATATGGATTTTCTTCATATACCATTGTTGTTGAATTATTTCTTGTTGTACATTATATATTATGAAGGTAAAATTATTTAAGCTCCAAAAAGACCTACAGGTCTCTATCTTTAATCATAATAATTTTACTTTTCTTCCAAAAGTATTCTGTGTTACTTCCACTACATATTTGTTATTTTTCATGAAAATAATTACCCTAATGCTGACCTTTCCCCTACTCGCTCAATTCGTACCTGATCCCTGTTTTTATCATTTTTCTAGAAGAAAACCATTTTGTCTAATAAGAAGTCTGAGATGTACAGAAGCTAACCATGATCATTTCTTTCTTTCTGAATCAGCTAATTACTTGAACAATCCAAAGCAAGATGAAAAAGAAGAGGTTCTTTCTCCAAGTTATATTCTTCTTTATGAAGACGGTGAAGGTGACCGTATGCTTGTTGGTGATGTGCCTTGGGAGTATGTCTTTGGATTTTTTATTTTCCAATGTCTATTTGATATCATTAATTACTTCCAAACAATATGAGGTGTTTTACCCCTATATGAGAATGCATATTACAAGACATTCCTGATGCTAAGGAACTGTTGCAGGTTGTTCATCCATTCAGTGAAGAGATTATATATAACACTTGATCCTAGAGCACACAAATGTGGTTTGTGACAATCTTTTTATACTGCTTTCTTTAATAAACATTCTTAATTATATGAGGTTCCTTGCGCTAATGCTTTGAATTAACTTTACTATAGTATGGATATAAACAGTCCATTCTATAAATTCAAAACCTTATACCAACAAAGAGATGAAAGATATGGAATTACAGATTTCAGCTTGTTAATGTAGGTATTGATTTTGCAGGTTGATTACATTCGGGACCTATGAAGGATACAGAAGAATGAAGAGGTATCAACTTGCTTAGTTGAAGATATGATGAAGAAAAAGAGTTGATTTCATGAAAATATTTCAGAATTTCAGAGTGGCGATGTTGCCGCACAATCTAAAACTAGATTTCCACTTGAGGTGATTGGAAGGTTGCTTATCTTGGCAGTGTAACATATATGGTTGTGTGATAAATAATCTCAAGAACAATGAGTTATTTATTGTGTTCTATAGTTTAGAATCTATGATTATTTTGGAAATTTTTGTGACTAGTTTACTTCCTTTAAATTTGTATTACTTCTTTGATATTTCTTTTGGCTTGGCTTCCAGACATGATGTTCCAGACCAAACTACAAACTATAATTATGCAACGGCTATTTTATCAAAATATTGTTTGTTTATATATTTGTCCACTTCTCAATGCTATTTATTTAGCAATGCATTATCCTGATGCAATTTAGTCATCAAATGTTACTATGTTAGACAAAATGTCTTTGGTGAAACAAAATCATAACCACTATTGAAATTGAAAGGTGTACTTCCATTCATTTGGTATGTATCAAGAAATCTGCAGCACCTAGAATTACAAAAAGAATAAGCTATCTGAAGGAAAAATGAAAATTGAGAAGATTGTGTTGAAGAACATTTGCAATACCAACCTTCTTACATGAATGGTTGGATGCAACTCCATTGCAATGGAATTTTATGAGTCTATACTTCAGGTACAGCTTGAAAGCGATCTATGTTACACTTTTGGCATACTTCCTATGTCTGCAAGGAAGGCAATAACCTGTCAAGACAAACAAAAATAAAAAAACACTGTTATGAGTTTAACATGATGAAGATTTAATTATAGATGATACTTGATAGCATCTAATTGGATTCAAAATTTTAATTGCGGTGAGATAAAAACATATGTAGTTGTATCTTACACTGTCTTATATAATTGGCTCTGTCAGCGTAATTGGTAACCATCAGAAAACGGGAAAGCTATTTGCAATATCCCTCAGTAATTTTTGCAGAAAAGATATATTCTTATGATTAGAAAATTATTCATACAGAACAAAATGATAAACTCATAAAATCGTAAAGCGCAAGACAGAAATCTAACATATAAACTTGATCTTACACAACCAACCCCCCATGAGTTTAGATGACAAACCATAAAATGATGCTAATTAAATAATATATAGACTCAAAAAGCTTCAGAAAACTCTCTTTGGGCATGATTCCTACAGCTGTAAGAAATGCTGTAACTTGCTAAAGCAAGGAACCGAAACACTACATCATGGTGACTTAAAGACATGATGATCACATCAGCAAGAGGTCTTTTTAACTGAATCAGAATGTCAGATGACAAATCTGCTTTACTATATGTCCGCATGTAGCGAAAGCTCATTCTCAATGAATGTAGATCTTGTATTGTCAAGATTTAATAGCAAAGACTAAATATGGATGCTAAGGGAGATATAATAAACTTACATCAGAATGTGAAGATAAAAAATATATGCTGACAGTTTTTACTACCAAAAAGAAGCATTAATTAGTAGCCGTAGTATTGTGTAAACGTGAAGGAGATTATTAAATCATGAAGAGGTTTGACTTGCAGGTAGGAGTTGCAAACTTCACAATGTGAAAGAAGACGAGGGCCATGCGTTCATTAACATTCTTGACAAGCCGAAGAATTGCTAGTGTGACGGACCTTACGCTCATGAGCAAATCGAGAATGTCAGCATCATCCTGCGTATCTGGTTCTCTTCTCTCGTACTGGATATCAGAACAGCACCTAGAATCCACATAAACCTGGTTCCAAGAATATACCAATTGCAGAAGAAACAGGGTTTGGCATTCTTGCAAGCGTCTTAAGTGCAGTCTTAGGAACCGCAAGAGATTCGTAAAAAGCGGAAGGAGCTCATGCAAGTGCGAAACCACGACCTAACGGACGGCCGACCATCGTTGGTGGCATGGCGGCGGACACAGGCGGAGAGGCGGTTTCCGTGGTGGGCGCGGCGGAGTACGGGAGAGGAGCCATTGGCGGCGGCGACCTAAACTTTTAACTATGTTAGGTAAAGCAAAGATATACTTAAACGGGTCATGTCATGGTTACCTGTACTAAATAGGACGGACACGTCATGATTACCTGCTTGAAGAATCCTCTTTAATTGCATAATCTAAATGGGCATCTCAAGGACCAATTGCTGCTGCACATAAATCAATAGATGCAATTTTGAACAACATAGGATCTAATTAAATGCTTCCAAACACAACAGACTTCTTTTTTTCCAGAAAATGGAACTAATTTATATCAAGAAAGAAGTCTCATACACCGATCACCACAGGAGATCAAAAGCTCCAACAATCTTCACCAAAAAAGTTATAATTGTTCATCCTAATAAAATTGACCAACCCACTGCATGGTTTCGTTCCTTAGAACTCCATAGAAAAATTAAGTAGCTCAAGGATTATCATAGATCCATGATAAATGCCGCAAGAAAAAAAAAACATAAATGCACTACCATGCAAATTCCTTGACGGTAGATTTACAATTTCTACATGAAATTTCTGGTTTTCTGAAAATAGATAGGGTGTTGGACTTTCTCAGTACAAACATATAGCATAAAGAAAACAGACAAATCAGGCTTCTCACTTCTTCAGCGTGGCTTCGCCATCGAAGTTGAGTTCATGAAGGTTAAGCAATAAATCATCAGACTGCAGGAAAACACGGTTTGACGAATTTGCGATTGTGTGAGCTATCTCCCTTGCAGACTCAATCTGTCGTAAAGCAAGGAACGCAGGGTTGTTTGCAATAGCTTGACCTATAAGCTGGGCACTCGTTGCCTCGCCCTGTCAAGACGACGAAAATAAGATTCACATATTCTCCATAAATATCAGAATAAGCAGTTGCTTTTTATTTAGGCGTATAAACATAAGCAGTTTTCCAATACTTATAGCGAAGTAAAGATGGTAATACAACATTGCCAGCATCAAGATGACACAGTTTCAGATAGCAAATAAAAGGATCAAATTTATCATCATAATGAGATTGTAGCTCATGGCCATACCCTAACTGCACAAAACAGATTTAACTTTTTAGCAGTCGGGAACGATGATGAGAAAGGCTCTATAAATTTAGATTAAGAGTAGCTTGTTGACTAAATGTGGATGAAGGTAAAAAACTTCATTCTTCCATGAAAGCTATTCAAGTGTCCTGGATCTGTGTAGATATAGATAATATGTAGATAATATGCTGAAATCTCACAAGTACAAGGTAATGCTTGACTACCATAAAACATCTTTCTCACCTGCGCTCTGATAATAGCACTTTTCTTATCTTGCTCTGCCTTTTCAACAATGAACTTAGCACGTTCAGCTTCTTGTGCAGCCACCTGTTTAGATTCGATTGCAATAGTAAACTCCTTCCCAAAGCTCAGGGTCGTTATGGACACATCATCCAGAACAATATTGAAGTTTCTGGCCCTTTCTGTCAATATCTTTCGAATTTCCCTACTTACAGCCTACAACAAAAGGTGGATTCTTCAAATTCATATGTATCAGTAGGTTGCATAGTTATCATTCCTTAATATGCTATCAACCAATAAATTATAATATGAAATTTTATTGTAACAGAAGACCTCTCTTTGTGTGATCAGTTGGCTAGCATTGTATTGTGCAACCACAGCCTTCAAGGTTTCATGAATAATGGATGGAAGGACCCTTTCATTGTAGTTCCCCCCAAGAGTTCGGTAGATTGTAGGTAGCTGATCTGGGATGGGTCTAGTAAGAACCCTAAGCCCAATATTAACCTGCATAAGATGCCATGTTTCAAACATTAGAATGCCAATGAACCAACGCATGTAACAGCTACCATCCAAAATCTGGAAATCAGTAATTGCATCTAGCAGAGTGAGATACTGCAACATACAACAACAAAATAAAAATTAAAAAGGTCAATCATGCAACTATTGTCAGTTATCTGGTCTCAAGTGTCACAACAACAATGAGCTAATAATCCACATACATTAATCTGAGAGAAAAATGGAGTGTTAAACAATGACAAGTTATTCATAACAGATGAAATGCAAAATAACTCTAGATGTATTTCTCATGTATGAAACACAAAATAAATGACTAAATTCAATTTGGTGTGTATCCCACATTGAAATAATTGTAAAGTTCTTTTTGTTGCTGCTTCCTGATGCAAGGAACAGCAAACTTACTGCCATTCAGCAAGGTTACATTAAAAGAGTAATCTGGGGGACAAAAAAAACACTACCAAATTCACAATGCTAGGGAAAAGCCAGCATGATCTTTAAGAATTGTTGGGCCAAAAATTGACATATTCCAGCTTCACTTGATACAATTTACCAGCCTAGCTCATCGAGGGATTATTATCCTAGATAATAATGGACTAAAGGTCATTCATTGCATGGGCAAGGTCTCGTAAAAGCCTAAAGCAGGTTACTTTTAATAACAGATATATATCCCATGATATAAATCTTGTTCTCTTCCTTAAAAAAAATTAATGGACTTGCAGCCACCCAAAACACTCATCTGAAAATGTAATCAGGGATACACGTTGAATTAGAGTGCAAACTTGGGATGTGTTTAAACTTTAAAGTGAATACTCATGAACTATCCCAATGAAAGGGTTGGATGTTGGTTTCCATTGGCCAAAAACCTAATACAAATCCAAATTGAATCTAACCTGCACCTAGTCTTCTCATCTCTGATTTGGCATATGAAGTACATACAATATACAGCATGAAAATTTATATCTTTGTTTACTACCATTCATATACCTAAAATTATTATCTCATATCTATAAATAAGCCAAAGTAACCCAACTCGACCTATTTGACCATGAAACTGAACCCAACCATCCAATCTTTCCAACACAATCACCCTGATCTGTACTGGTATCGACCAAGGACAATTTAGTCCTCCTGAACTTACACCAAATATTAGTTAAAATCAGCAAGAAACAAATAAACTTGGTTAGAGTTGCCCTATTTTGGCCACTTTTAGCCAATTGGACAACATCACAAGATATATATATATATATATATATATATATATATATATATATATATATAT